CGGGGTGGGGGAGGGGAGGGCGCTGCCGCCCCTCCCCCTGCCGCTGCTGGCGGTGCTGGCGGCGCTGCTGCCCCTCCCCCCGGCGGGATTTGGGTCGGGGGGCGCGGGGGAGGGGTCGTTCCGGCCCGTGGTGATCGTGCACGGGCTCTTCGACAGCCCCAGCGACTTCCGGCACCTGCGCGCCTTCATCAACCAGGTGCGGGGGGATGGGGGGGACCCCCGAACCGACCCCAAAACAGCCCCAAAACAGCCCGGAAACACCCCAAAAACAGCCCGAATACACCCCCAAAACAGCCCGAATACACCCCGGAAACAGCCCGAATACACCCCAAAAACAGCCCCAAAAACAGCCTGAAAACAGCCCGAATCCCCCCCAAAACAGCCCGGAAACACCCCAAAAACAGCCCGAATACACCCCAAAAACAGCCCCAAAAACAGCCTGAAAACAGCCCGAATACACCCCAAAAACAGCCTGAAAACACCCCAGAAACAGCCCGAATACACCCCAAAAACAGCCCGAATACACCCCGGAAACAGCCTGAAAACACCCCAAAAACAGCCTGAATACACCCCAAAAACAGCCCCAAAAACAGCCCGAAAACAGCCCGAAAACAGCCCGAATGCACCCCAGAAACAGCCCGAGTACACCCCAAAAACAGCCCCCAAAACAGCCTGAAAACACCCCGGAAACAGCCTGAAAACACCCCGGAAACAGCCTGAAAACAGCCCCGAAACAGCCAAAAAACAGCCCGAAAACACCCCAAAACCAGTCCCGAAACAACCCGAAAATAACCCGAAAACAGCCCAAAAACTGCCTGAAAACCGACGCGAAACGGCCCCAAAACACCTCAAAAACAGCCCCAAAACGGCCAAAAAACAGCCCGAAAACAGCCCGAAAACAGCCTGAAAACAGCCTGAAAACAGCCCCAGAAACGGCCCGAAAATAACCCGAAAACAGTCCCAAAAACACCCTAAAAACAGCCCGAAAACAGCCTGAAAATAACCCGAAAATAGCCTGAAAACGCCCCAAAACCACCCTAAAAACAGCCCAAAACCAGCCCCAAAAACAGTCCAAGAAACACCCGAAAAACACCCCAAAAACAGCCCAAAAACAGCCCAAAAACACCCGAAAATAACCCGAAAACGGCCCGAAAATAACAAAAAAAAGCCCC